GTTGTCTATACTTATATCCTTAATTTTTGCAACTTTCATTGAACGTTGCAATTTTGCTACTTTTTTAAAAAAATAAATAAATTACTAAATAAATTATTATATTTACATATATCAAACTCATTCCACAATAATCTTTATATTTATTTACGCAATAACAATAAATAATAAATCCATCATTATAAAGCATTTTCTTACACTCCTCTTAGAAAAAATAAAATTACTTGTAGTAAGGAAGATAATTTAAAGTTACAATTTATGTACAAAATTAAATTAACAAAAAGAAGATGAAGTACATTAATAATCGGAACTTTCCAACTACAATTGTCAAATCCGTATTCCATTCAAAACGGATATCCTTATTTATAACACGATGCTTCAACTTCTGCATAAGACATCAACATATATATCATTTTGAAACTCAGTAGCAAAAATAGAAAAAAAATACATACAAAAGCCATCTTTTTATCAATTCTATCAATCTAGAAAAGAAGAAAAGCGTTATTATATCTCAAAATAGCAACTAACAAACTAGGAAATAATTTACCTAAATCCCTTAAATTAAGAAAACAAATCATCAAACAAGTCAACTAATTCGTTTGCTAGAATCACCTTTGATAAATCTAAATACTACTATAATTTTTTCCTTATACTTCAAAGACAAGATTGAACAAGGGGCAAATAACAACAAATTAATCACCATCATTACGATGGTAACTGTAGCAGGATGATTGGGTTGCAAAATGGAACTAACACGTGACCAAGATGGTACCAATACTTGATACACTAGACTAGAAACTGTAATCCATCGTGTCCTGAACACCATAGCTCACTGAAAACACATCACAACTACCATAACACACTAAAATGCCAAACTTTTATGGAAAACCACTTTTAAATGCTAAGCTTTCATGGAAAACACTTGTATTTGAGAAAGCAACCACAAACTAAACGGCTTAATAATATATAGTCAAAACCAGGTAACTTGAGCAGAAATTTTCCTTCAACAACCTAGTATTGATGAACTTGAATTCACTGTCTTTATTGCTAACAGATTCTGTAGTCTCGGTTTTATCTGTTTGAAAAGCCAAACAAGAGGCAGGGAAAACAATGAATGACGAAGATATCTATTACATGTTTGGTGAAGATGATTAAATGTACTAAACAGGAAAAACACCACAAGAGGTAGGGGAAAGCTATCAAGTAGATACATAATTGTACAAGATGATGAACGCGAAACGATGAACAAAGTGGCAAGTTGTTTCTAATGCATTCTTACCATTTCGGCAGCTTTCACGGTCTCCACAAGTGTGCTTGTGTACACATTGACAAAAACACGTGCACAAATACAAAGGCATGGATAGGTGGAAATATAGACAGATAGAAGCAGATTATCCATACGTGTTGTCGGGTTGATTATTACTTGGAAACACGGGGAGATATAGTGTAAGCATACGCTCATCTTCACTCTTCAATGTCCTCTCAGATCTAATGTAGTGCACAATCTTGAATATTAATGGTTGGTTGGTAAGTTTCCTGCACTTAATCCAGCAACAATTAGAGATTATATAGCGGACAGATGTGTTGGAAAAATTGGTTTTATTAGTTGGTTTGACCAATTATTTTAGTGGGTCCCGTTAGTTGGACAATATATTTCTTTGGCCGAATGTGTTCTATTCCATGATTAGATTAATGTTATGTATTTATTTTCTCAAAACCAATTTAGGGTGAATAAGAAATTAAGGTCAAAGATGACAACTTGAAGTTAAAATAAATTGGAATAAAAATTGGTAGGAAAATGGAAAAGTGTCAATCCAACATAGGAAAGCTAGAAGAGTATAAACCACTTTATATTGCTCAAATTTGAGACTTGGATTTGGGCTCCAAGGGATACCAATAGTTTTTGAAGGGGAGAGAACCTACATGCTAATAGGTTGAGCCAAAGCCCACATGCGCACACCTTCCGGCCAGCTCGGCTCGACTCGACACAGGTCGTGGGCTTGGGCTGGGCCAAGCTTATATATATTTTTGATAAAATAATATTTAATTTATATTATTTTATTATTATTTAAAATAATAATATATTTAATTTATATTATTTTCACCCCCCGGTTTTTCTGTGCATGACATGTGAAATCTTCTAGAAAGGCGGTTGACGGTTGATAGGTAAAAAGTCCGTCCAAACAGTTTGTGTCTGTTGAAAACACAACTTTTCGGCTGTTGTCTCTTTGGGACATAACTTTTCAATTTCTATAAATAGACCCCCATATCCCGGTTTTCATTCACTCCAAAATCAATTTTGACTTTATTCTTCTTCCGAAATTATTCCTTCGTCCCTACATTATTCATATTTTGCAATCCAACCTCGAAAAATTATTTTCGTGCATTTTAGTTCTCCAATTTTTAGAGAGATCAAAACGTGAGCAGGTTTGTCAGGTCTTGTAATTTGTTGTGCTACTATTACAAGTCAATGTCGTTGCATATTGGGAGACGAGTGCCGGAATACCGTCAACACCACTGCGGGGAATTATCATTTTAAGGAGAAAGAGTCGAACTCTTGTCTCGACCATTAGCATTTTTATAGCATTCATTTTGCAAGACGTTATTCTGCCCAAATCAATTCACGGTGATATAATTATTTGCCAACAATCATCAACAAGATGGAGCATTTAAACATAAATGTGCTTCTAAAATCAAGACAAAAAGTTCAATCATGAACAACCAGCAGATAAAACCTTTGTCATATTGATTGATATGTTGTCCTTCACATTCCAATGCATGGATCCATATTTTAACATAACTTACTCGATTGTTGTGATGATTATTCCCTGATACTTCACATAAGGATTAGACAAAGGAACTCTTGGCCAGTTGGGGATGGGGGTGAGGGTGCGGGTAGATGGGTGCATTGGACAAAATAATGACATCGAGAACTTAGAAAATAAAGACAAAAGAATGCATTGCCATGATTAATAAGTTAAAATTTTTTCACTTAAGTGTGTATCTAACTCATTTTCAAGTATAAACGAAATTTCGAAACTCACCATGTTTTGCTTCACATCATTCAGCTCCTTGGTAACCTCTGGAGGATTTCTGCTTTCTTCATCTTTAATTTCATGATTAATTCTTTAATCGGCCTTGCAAATTTAGTAGCCAGTACATTCAATATGAAAAAAATTAAAAGGCATTATATCTAAAAGGTTACAACGAATAAATGTTGCTGGTCTTGTGGTCCAAGCCATTATCAACATAAGATCAACAGGAATATACGAATGCAAACAAATGCCTCCATGAGAAGACACAAACAGCATGGAAGAACATTCTCTGTGGAGAAAAGTACTTTTTTGGGTAGAAAAGAGAAGTGCTAAGATTTCCCTTCGAAATAAATTGCAAATGCTATTTTTTTTTCCAAAACAACTCATTTATTATAAAAACCAAGAGACAAATACTTACATTAGGAAATACCTATAGAGGTTATCATATAAAAGAACATTGTATAAGCATTAACATAAATTATTTCATATACTGCCTAATAAGAGTATTTTGTAAAATTATCTAGGTCGTTAAATTAGAGTATTTGTTAGTGATTTGGATGATTTATATCTTAATTTTGTGTTAATTATGTTTGTTAGGTTGAACTCAATGCAAATTGGTAAATTTGGAAGAGAGAAACAAAAAACGTGCGAAAACGAAGAAAATTCAAAGTTTGGGGACCAAAGTGTAAACATTCAATAGTTGATTCGAAGCACAAAACGATGATTGGAGATCATATAGGATCAACTGGATGCAATTGGAGGTCAAATGAGTGAAATATAATGGAAATATTTTCACAAATTAATTTCCAACCGAAATATTAGTCGAGCACTATTTTTCGTGGTTTATTCCTCTTGTAGAATGGGCAAAAGGAATTACAGAATCTATTATAGTTGTAGAGCTAAGGGCCAGTCCTTTGCCGAATGCCCACGAAAACGCCGATGCCCACTATGCAAGTCAGGATTCGAGAAGTGTTTTATGGTGGAGAAAGAGACGGTAAACAAAGGACGATTATTTCTTTGTTGCAGTGAAAATTGTGGATTTTGGGACTGGGTTGTGAAAGAAGGATCAAGCGATCAATGCTCTAGCGATAGCACTTCCTCAGTTAACCCGGTGACAAATGACAGAGTTGAAGATATGTCCCACATGTTCCAATCTCGAGTTCAGCTCAATGATGAAGAAGAACTACAAATTTCGATGACTGTGACAATCTGCAAGGCAAAAGGCAGCACGTAAGAAAATGATGAAGGAAGGGGGTCGACATGATTAGTGGAAATTAATCAAACGGGGTATTACATGGAAATTTTCATAGTTTCAAAATCTTCCCATGCAGAGGATCTAGACAACAAAATATTTTGTTTTGTCTTGATATATAATACTGTTTCTGTATATCACTTTAGCATGACTAGCCGGTGCTAATATCCCTCTTTGTTGCATTTGCATGCCCTTTACATTTTGTTTGTCTTTCTTGCATACTCCAGTTGATATAAAAGCTTCTTAAACTCTTTAATTTCTGTTTTTTATTCTTGTTTATTCATATTTTAAAAAATTGTTTTACTAAATTTCTGTATACCTAGATGCTACTCATAATATTGTCTATTATGTTTCTAGCTCCATTTATTGTAACTAGATGAATGATGATATATTGACAAACATGGGCTTAATGTGGTTGTCACATAAAATCATAAATTAAGTGGAAACAAGTTTCCCCGTTCAACCCCTCACACTCTCATTCAACACAAAACTCAACAAATTCAAACAGACTCTAAATGAATTATTCCTAGATTAAGTAAAGCAGAAACATAGTAAAGTAATGTGCATCTACTAAGATTTAATCAAGCACAAAGCATTCTCATCCAAATAATCGTGACAATCTGCATTCATGATTTCATTTTTTTGAAGTCTATTTGAAGATGCAGAACTGTGAACATAGGGCACAAAACAAGTTTCAAAAGCGATCTAATATTACATTACTTTTCAATAAATGATGACTCGGCTAGATCAATGGCTCGAGCAAGACCAGCATCCTTGTTTTCACACTCACTGTGTTCATTAGCAGGATCACTGTCAGCCACTATACCAGCCCCGGCTTGGAGATGGGCAACCCAATCTTGACGCGTGCTCTTATCCTTGTATGAGTACATTGTATCATAACGCACAGAGGTTGGGAATACGATAGTCCTCAAAGCTAAAGCAATATCCGTATCTCCAGTGAAAGAAATGCGTCCAAATCCACCACTATATGGCCCACGCCTTGTAGCTTCTAGTTGATCTATCAATTCCATAGCCTTCACCTACTCAACCAAAGATAAGATTATATTTAGTACATCCTTAGATAATAAGTGAACTGTTGCTCGACTCGTCTCTGAGAAAGACTAAGATAGTATTAAAATGTATTGTTACAACCATGTTTGAGAACAACATCAAGGATATTCCTCTGGCCACCTTGCCACATTTTGTCAAGGCCAAAATGTGAGCTTCTTATAAAGTGAACTCACAAGCCCAAATAATACCAACCTTGGCCTTGTTCAGTCTACCTAGTTGAGCAGGATAGGCAAAAGGAAGGACGTCAGAAGTTGATACAATGATGATAATAGACGATATTTTGTTTTCTTTTTTTCTATCTTTCCATGGAAGAATGAGAAAGACACTATTACAAATACAGTGCAATGACAAAATAGTAAACCAAATTATCTTGGTAAACAACAAGCCAACTTACTCACATGCCTCTGCCACCTTCCTCAAAAAAATTTTGATAGTAGTACGGTAACGTTTGACCTATAGTAGAATACCATATGGCGTAGTTAATGATGCATTCAAGAAAAGTGACGTCTAACGTCATATATCAACACATGTTCATACCTTTTGGAATGTATGTAGCATTTTTCGCCTGCAGATGAGGGATAAAATTTGCAACCAGTACATGTTGTGATACTGAGAATTGCGCGGGCATCGGCATGGAACTGTGCGAATATGATATCGGGGTCGATATGGAATATTGTACAGGTGGCTCGAAGTTTGTTCCACCATCAACCATAGCGCTCTTTCTATTTTTTTGTCTCTTACTCGTGCTTGATGTGGAACCGGACTGCATGGCAAATTCGATATTAATCGATAATTTGTAATTCTAAAGAATTGCAAATATATAGTATGAAAAGGAAAATACCTTTGCTTTCTTCGATACCATTTCCAGTGGGCTCTTTCTCCGAAATTTCTTTGGCGCTCCCTTCCGTCATGTCATTTTCGGATCCAATATAGATCCACTAGCAGTTTTCGATAAATCAGCATAATCATTAAAGAGCCAAGGCATACTATGATGCGAAATGAAAACACTTCCCAAACTCGATTTTGTTGTCATAAGCTCTTTACATTGACATTTTATCCAATCTATTATCGCATGTGACCAAATTTCACCATCTACAGCAAGGTTTGCCAACTGCGCAAAATCCATTGACATCTCTTCATATCGCAATTGTGCTGGAGTACTAACTAATCAATTATAGTTTATTGACACCCTCGTGTGAGCTCTACGAACATCTCTCCTTCATCTTCACGGTATATACCTATCTGGAATATGTGTGACGTCATTCTAAATCAACACTGAGATCGTATGCCTGCAAAGTATTCCCCAAAACTCAAACAAATAGCAGCTGCAAATAATCTCACATTTATCTTGTACGAATGAGACGTGGAACATTTTTCTCGTACATTGAACGTCATACAAATAGATTATGCAGATGTAGACATAACCTTGCAGTAAAATATGCCACAAACACCATCTATGCTTCGTATTTGGAAAAACAATCGCAATCGCACTTCGCATGACCTTATCTTGATCCGTAATTATTCCATGTGGAGCTTCACCATACATGCACTGTAGTCATGTCTTAAATAAACACACAAAAATATCAGTGTCTTCACTCGATATCAAACCACAACCAAACAATGTTGATTGTCCATGATGATTGACACCAACAAATGGGATGAAAGACATGTCGTACTTATTTGTGAGATATGTGGTATCAAATGTAATTACATCGCCAAGCTCCTTGTACGCCTAACTACAACGGTAATCTGCCCAAAATACATTTCTAAGACGCGACTCATTGTCCAAATCCATACTGAAGTAAAACAGGGGCTTTGTGCTTGCATTTTTGAAAAATATGCCTGTATTACTGTAGTATCTCCTTCTCCAAGTCGTAGTCGCCTTACTTGTTCTATATAGTTCCTGCAATTCTTTTCAATGCAAGTCATGTTCTCGCATACACCTGCTTCTACCACTGCAGAGTTGTAACTTTTATACAACGGAATCACAACCAAATTATTCATTTCAAGCTTTCATTTCACATGTTTACTCAAACGTCGATTGCATCGATATAACCTGGACCTAGAAGGACTTCATGATTGTGGTCGAGGTGAACCGCGTGAATTCTCCAGATCCCAAGAATATCTGAAGATGTAGATATCCTGGCTTTACAACCTATCTTAACTGTTAGTTGTGGCTTCAATGAACAGCTACTATTTTCGCTTATTCGACCTTCACGACTACATGTCAACGTCACATATCTCAAGACCCCATCCTCCCCTTTTTTCAAATTCCTTTTCTTTACCGAAAAACCAACTGCATAAGTATATTTGGAGTAGAACTCATACATATCTTTTTCATCTTTAAATAACATACCCACCTTAGGCACATTTACACCATTTTCCCCTGATTTTTCACATTCGACTACGTTCACAAAGTCCGTCACGTTCTCATTGTCAAATTCCACCAACACATCATCGTGCTCGTTCTGCACGTCTTCCATTTGACTACAAAGCAGATTTCGATAAATCAGTTTCAGCATAAGTTAAACTGACTCCAAATAGTCTTTCAATTATTTACATTTTTCAGGCAATAGGTAGAATATAAACATACAAATAATCACAACATACAATATCTTCATCAACATGACCTTAAGATGAAAATAAATTCAAATAAATTTATCGAATTTGTGGACATTTTCAATCACATAAAACACCTTCCAATACATAGAAACACAATACCATTTCAAATACCTTCCAATAAACAAAAACACAATACCATTTCATAACAGTTGGATTTGGCATGCCATTGCTCAATTGAACTGGAAAAAATTGAATTACAATCTCGAAAATGTGAAAAGGATCAATTTTTACCTATTAACGTGAACAATGAGTAACACCTCGGCAGGGAGAGATAGAGGCACTTTCGAGATAATTTGGAGCTTCAAGATTTGGGGCAAAGTATGATTTCATCCAGTTCCTCAAAACCTCCAAAAATCTACCTTCACTTTGTTCACACTTCTTCGGGTAAGGTAATGGAACAGATTTTCTCAAAATCGTCGAAAGCCAAAAAAATCTACCTTCACGCCGGGTTGATTATATGGGTAAGGTAATGGAGCGGATTTTTCGATCTTTGAGAAAAAGGAGAAAGGATTTATTTCAGGTTGATTGTTTCTAATTATTTGAAATGGGGAAAATAAATTTGTTTGTACGTATAAAGGGGATAAAAAACTGGTCCGGTCCACCAAGTCAAGTCCGCTAAGGCTTCCCTCCAATTTGCAAATTATTGATGCCACATCTGCTCAATTGAAATCCCTACTTTTTATCCTGTGTTTGACCCTGTCTTAGTAGCTTTTTCCTACAATTTAATAGCAAGACTTGCATTCTTGAATGCAAACTTTCATGATTATGTAGATTTATTTTTTTTGGCGCATGCCAATTTTTATTTTTATTTTTTTCCCTTCTATTTTCCTCTCCCTTTTCTTTTCTTTTTCTCCCTTTTCTTTCTTCCTACGTTTTCTTCCCTCTTCTAGTTCTTCGTTTTCATCTCCTTCTCGTTATCTTCTCATTTCTTTCTTCTCATCTCCATTAATCAATTTCCATTACAAATTTGAGCCGGGCCGGGCATCATCATCAATCAACCTTCATTTCCAAAATATTTTCCCCCTATTGACAAAACCCTTTTCTTTCCCTTTTCCACCTAATCGATCTCCTTCATGATTTTCTCGAAATCAGATTGATTTTTGCGCTGGATCTGGAGTGCTTTTGGTCTATGAGCGAAGGGATTGGAATAAATCAATGTCCATGAATGTGATTTCTTGATTTACTCCAGGTATTAGCTTTCCTAAATGTTGGATAAATTTGCAATATAGATATATGACGCCGGGTAGAATAGTAATTATTCTGCAAGCTGGAACCAATAGATAATAACAGAGAATAACGCAAAAGAATAACACTAAAAAAAATGAGAAAATCTTTATTATTCAACAAGTGAACGAAAATAACCCACAAGTCGGGTTAAATAGTTAGAAAATAATAATTTTCGGAATTTTACCAAAAACAGCAAGATCCTATTATTCATACCAAAAGAAAATAGGTAATGATAGAAATAAGATCCCAAAAATCTGGCTTAATTTGAGATCGTAATCTATGTCAAAAAGGAAATTGAAATATTACTAAAAATGGTAAAAAATAACTTAAATTGATGATTTGGAAGGGAAAACAGCTGAATTTGGCCTTGAAACCGATGCACACCGAGCATAGCTCGGTAACCACGACGTGCGCGCCGAAAAGAGCATTTCGAATTGGGGTCATGGGCATGATTCTAACAACCGTAGCCAAAATTATGGCGAAAATACCGAAACGTGTCCAAAAAGGCCCCAATTAGGAAAGGTCGAAGATTATTTGCCAATTTTACGTTGATCCGCCAACTCATGGTATCTCAGCGCCATTAATGTACTATCACACAGCTCGGCCTCGTCTGACTTTGATCCTCGATGATATATTGTTAATTAAGTGTTGTGTGGTTTTATTGAGTGTGCGAATTAGGCAGTGTCTTCAATTCAAGTTGTTTACTCTTTGTCTGTATATTAATTCAAGTTGTTTACTCTCTAAATTATACAAAGATTTTCAGACTTTACCCGACACTCTAAAGGTCCTACGTAACATATTTGTTGTATCTATTCCAGGACTATCTGCTCGATTTGAATTGTTTAGTATCAGTATGTGTTCTATTCAAAATATGGATAGTTTAGTTTTAGATGTTCAGCATAGAAGGTTAGGATATCAAGCTTTGAAAATTGTCAAACAAGTTCTATTTTTACTGTAATGAGTCTATTTCAATTAATGAGAATACATCTTTCTGCGTCAATTGGGAATTTATGTACGTTTACTTGCGATGTTATCTTAGTAGCTCTGGAATTTTCTTGTTTTGGTTGTTCTGCTGAATGATTTATTTATTTTTATTGAATATGGGCTGAAACATGAAGAGATGTCAGAGTGGGAATAATACTTTGAAATTATAAGTAAATGTGCTCCAAGATGTTCAAGAATATTGTTGTTAAGTTTCTCAACTAGTCAGTTGTATTTCTCCTCAGTGGGTTCTCGACTGGGGGTTCATAAGCTAAATTAAGCTTTCAATTCTGTAATTGAACATTCGTATTATTCAAGTGGATGGTAATTGGATAGAGTAGTATAATCTGGTTACCTTGTCCTAACTCCATAATACAGTGAGCCTATAACAAGAACTTTTTAGTTGGAAAATAAGAAGAATACTAAGTATATATATATGTCATCTTTCATGTGTGAAAAGTAAAATTAGAAGGATAGACATAAATAAGAGTGAGAGATCAAAGACAGGATAGACCAAGTTACTTTCCTTTAAGGGCCGAGGCTTCCTTAGAGAATGTGAATTTAAATTGAAATTGAATCTGAGATACAAAGTAGGCTTGTAACACAACATTTTATGTTGCCATTGATTTTTTAAATACAGAACCGATTGCAGTTCAAGAAGCTCTTCATTCGAGCCATTGGAAGGCAATAATGGACCAAGAGTGTGCTGCTTTACTAAAATATTAGACTGGGGCTCCTTTGCAGATGCATAAAGACATAAAATTTGTTGGTTGTCATTGGGGATTTAATGTCAAACAA